AAAGCTAAGCTAACGCTAAGCTAAAGCTGAGCTAAAGCTAGGTTAAAGCTAAGATAAAGTTAAGCTGAAGTTAAGCTAAAGCTAAGCTAAAGCTAAGCTAAAGTTAAGCTAAAGCTAAGCTAAATCTAAAGCTAAAGCTAAAGCTAAGCTAAAGCTAAGCTAAAGCTAAGCTAAAGCTAAGCTAAAGCTAAGCTAAAGCTAAGCTAAAGCTAAGCTAAAGCTAAGCTAAAGCTAAGCTAAAGCTAAGCTAAAGCTAAGCTAAAGCTAAGCTAAAGCTAAGCTAATAAGCTGAAGTTAAGCTGAAGCTAAGCTAAAGCTAAGCTAAAGCTAAGCTAAAGCTAAGCTAAGGCTAAGCTAACACTAAGCTAAAGCTAAGCTAAAGCTAAGCTGAAGCTAGCCAAAGCTAAGCTAAAGCTAAGCTAAGCTAAAGCTAAAGCTAAAGCTAAGCTAAGCTAAGCTAAAGCTAAGCTAAAGCTAAGCTAAAGCTAAGCTAAAGCTAAGCTAAAGCTAAGCTAAAGCTAAGCTAAAGCTAAGCTAAAGCTAAGCTAAAGCTAAGCTAAAGCTAAGCTAAAGCTAAGCTAAAGCTAAGCTAAAGCTAAGCTAAGCTAAGCTAAGCTAAGCTAAAGCTAAGCTAAAGCTAAGCTAAAGCTAAGCTAAAGCTAAGCTAAAGCTAAGCTAAAGCTAAGCTAAAGCTAAGCTAACACTAAGCTAAAGCTAAGCTAACACTAAGCTGAAGCTAGGCTAAAGCTAAGCTAAAGCTAAGCTAGCACTAAGCTGAAGCTAAGCTAAAGCTAAGATAAAGCTAAGCTAAAGCTAAACTAACACTAAGCTAAAGCTAAGCTAAAGCTAAGCTAAAGCTTAAGCTAAAGCTAAAGCTAAGCTAAAGCTAAAGCTAAGGCTAAAGCTCCCAGGGGACTGGGGGAACCGCGGGGCGGGGACTGGGGGAGCCGCCCGGGGCGAGTTCCACTGCCCGGCCCCTTCAAGAAAGAGAGTAAGAACCCTCTAGGCAGAGCCTAGGTAGGGAATAAATGCACACAAATAAAAAAAATATTCCCCATATTTTCCCATATGTTCTGTGTTTCTGCCTTCCCCCCCGCTTCCCATATGTTCCCATATGTTCTGGGAGTCGACGATTCATTGTGTCTGTGTGTTTTTTCCCCCTCCTTAGAGGAACGCGACACGACACGGCAAGCCCAGGTTGCCCTCGGCGACATGGCGACATTGCGACACCCCCCGCGAACGCTGGGCCCGGGGGCGCAGGACCAGAAAACACACGGCACCACCCCCTGCGACCCCACAGGGCTTTGCGTATGCCAGGAAGTCGGCCTTCGCTAATTATCTGGCATTGCGCCCCATTGCCTATTGACACGCCCTCTGGACTTTTCCTGCGGGCCGCCGATCAAAAAAGTATGCCAGGAAATCTGGCGTGAGCTCTTGCGTGGTACGCGCCACGGCTACTGCCCCCGATGGGCCGTGGCGCAGCATGGAGGGCCGCAGGTGGGGTGGTGTCGCTTGTACTCTGGTCGAGGGTGGGCCCTCGCATTACCAGAGAAGCGATATCGGGGGCGGCCAAGAGGGGGGCGTCCACGACGGAAGGGCGCAAAATCATGGCTGGCGGCACGTGCGCGGTCCAGGGGGGGGGGCCAGGGACGTAGTGAGATGAGAAGAGGCGCCATGAAACCTGGGGAAATGTCATGGCCCACGCCGTGACATCCACCCCCCTTAGTCATCACCCCCCTCTTTGCCGCCCCCGACGATAGAGCGGAGCACTGCGGGCACAAGGGCCGGGGTAACGACAGCGCGTCCAGCCCTCTTCTCGGGGCCCCGCTGCCCCCAGGGCGCGCCGTGAGAGCAGCGAGAGGGTCGGAGGCACTGCAGAAGGTCTCCTCTTCTCGGCAGCGTGCTCTCAGCACGTACGCGTCGGTCGAAGAAGCAGGGAATGAAGTAGGAAGGCGGATGAAGCAGGTTGGGCTCAGACCCTCCCAGAGAATAGCCAGACACAGCAAAACACGCATCGCCTCTTGAGATAGGAAGAGGCGCTGGAAAGCGATTGGGATCTGGGCACCAAACATACCTACTTCCAACGACCGGCGTGTACCGTTGCAGAACAGAACAGAACAGAACAGAACAGAACAGACACCCGCATCGCGCCGAAGCGCGCTCCTGGCCGGAGCGGGTGGAAAGCGCCGCAGCGCTCAGAAGAGGATGAAGACCGTGTCAGAAATATCACCTCTTCATGTGTTCTGCTGCACCGTTGCACCCTGTCAGAAGCCCCGCCCTTCGTGGGGCAAGGAGGCCTACTGCAGGTCCGTGCCGTGTCGACCCTGGCGTTGGTTCCTGACACCGCGATGGATCGTTCAACCTTGAACGATCGGCCGTCTCCGCAACGTCCGATCGTTCAACATCGACTGATTCTGGGCCGCCGTCGGCGTTCAACGTTGAACGTCGGCGGCGGGGTCGCCGCCGGTCGACACGACGCGAACCTACCGTAGAGCCACCGTGCTGCCACAGCGAGTGCTGGGCACAGCGCGAGGGGGCTCTTCAGGCCACAGCGAGCCTCGGCCACAGGCGGGCGCCCCGACCCTGGTCGGAGGAACGGCCCAGAAGCCAGAGCCACTCCTGCAGTCGGGGCGTGGACCTAAGGAACCCCAAATAAGGAACAAGGCCCCTTGCTCCCAGAAGTGAAGTTTTGACTTCCCATGGAGAACGAGAGGAAAACCCAGGGCAAACTGTACAACAATCAGGGGAAACCTAGCCACTCCCAAACGAAAAGGGTTTCTTCTTCAGCGCCCCGACTGTAAGTCCAAAGTGGTCCTTGCTTCAACGTCTTCCTTGTGCTCTTCTCCGACGAGCGGCAAGCCCACTCACACGACTTGAAGCTTCACCGGTCGTCGCAGTTGGCCGCCAGAGTGGGCGAGGTCTCGATGGAGGAGGGAAAACGGAGGACGGAGGATGGAGGAATCACTACGCGGGGAGATGCAGGCAGGAGGAAGGAGAAAGGAGGAAGGAGAAAGGAGGAAGGAGAACGGAGGAGGAGGAGGACGGAGGAGGAGGAGGAGATAGGAAGGAGGAGTGGGAAAGGAGGCAGGACGAAGGACGCGAGAAGGAGGGGGGGAGGAGAAGCAGCAGAACGAGCCTCATCACGAGCCTCATCACTCATTCCTCCTCCGCTTCCTCCTGCTGATGGCCATGATTTTTCTCCTCCTCCTCCTCCTCATCATCATCATGCTCCACCTCCTCCTCCTCCTCCTCCTCCTCCTCCTCCTTCTCCTCCTCCATAATCCTTCCCACCATCACCACCATCGTCACTATCAGCAGCAGCATGATCATCATCATCATCATCATCATCATCATCATCATCATCATCATCATCATCATCCTCATCATCAGCATCAGCATCAGCATCAGCATCAGCATCATCATCATCGTAATCATCATAATCATCTGCATCATCATCGTCATAATAGTGGTCGTCATCATCATCATCAGCAGCAGCATCATCAACACAACATCAACAACAAACCCAACAATAACAATAACAACAAAAACAACGACAACAACAACAACAACCATAATTATAACAACACAACAACAACACAAAGACAGCACAAGAACAACATGAGCATCATCGTCATCATCATGATCCTCATCCTCATCAAAGAAATCGTCATCACGATCGTCATCGTCACATCGTCTTCATCATCACCACACCGTCATCATCATCAACAACACCCTCAGCATCATCATCATCGTCATCATCAGCACCATCATCATCAGAATCATCATAATGATTGTCCTCGTCGACATCGTCAGCATCATTATCAGCATCATCAGCATCATCGGCATCATCGTCCTCATCATTGTTATCATCGTATTACGAATAAGAATGAGAACAAAAATGATAATAATGATGATAAAAAGCCACCAACGTCATCAGCATAATCAGCATGATCATCATCAGCAGCAGCATCATCATCGCCATCGATAACCTATCATCATCATGAGCATCATCATCGCTATCATCGACAGCAGCGTCTTCATCATCCTCATCAACATCATCATCATCAGCAGCATCACCATCATCATCTCATCAAAATCAGCATGGTCAGCATCATCATCAGCATCATCAGCATCGCCATCGCCATCCTCAGTATCACAAACATCATAATCACCACCACCACCATCGTACTCATCATCAGCATCAGCATCATTATCCGCATCGTCATCATCGTCATCATCAACGTCATCAACAGCATCATCAGCAGCAGCAGCGTCATCAGCAGCGGAAGTCATCAGCATCATCATCAGGATCCTCATCATCGTTAGCATCATCATCATCATCATCATCATCACCATCAGCAAGATCATCGTCCTCGTCATCGACATCGTTATCACCATCATCAGCATCATCGTCATCATCATTATCATCAGTTTCGTCTCCTCCAACATCATCATCAATGCCACCACCATCATCAGCATCATCAACAGCATCTTCATTATCGGCAGCAGCAGCATCATCAGCAACAGCATCAGCATCAGCATCATCAGTATCATCATCAGCAGCAGCAGAAGCATCATCACCACCATCATCGCCATCAACCAACCACCATGACCCCTCCTCCCTCTTCTCCTCATTCGTTCTGACTGCCGTCGCGAACCTTCCACGACGAGCCGTGCAGCGGGCACACGATCGTGTCGCCGATCACGTCGGCCCCCTCGCTCATCGGAGTGCCGAGGTGGGGGCACAGGTTGCCCACGCAGAAGAGCTTGCCTGGGAGTCTCGGAACATCCCGCGCCCCCCGCCGTCGTCGTTCTGGTGGACGAAGAAGGCAGCGGATGGGTGGAGGGCAGGGGAGGGGAAGGCGGAGGACAAGGGAGTTCACGAGAGGAGGGGAGAAAGGTGGCAGGTGGGGCCGAGGTCAGGGGAGGGGGGAGGAGAAGGAGGAGGAGAAGGAGGAGGAGGAGGAGGAAGAAGAGGCGCTCAGCCGAGGCCAGACTCTTAGCGTGTTCAATGCAGCCCTCGCCCTCTCACGGCACGGGGGGAGAGGAGGAGGAAGAGGAGGAGGAGGTGGAGCAGGAGGAGGAGGAGGAAGAGGAGAGGAGGTGGAGGAGATGGAGGAGGAAGAGGGGGAGGAGGAGGAGGAGAAGGAGTTTCGCCTGACGGGCAAAGCCTGCTATGCTAAGCGCGGCTTGCACGGCGTACTACCTTAAGGCGGCAGGTGCAAACAGTGAATATCCTTCCTCGCCGAAAGGTTGGTCGAGAGGGGCAGTGGAGTGGACTCGGGTACCTGACGAAAGCAGAATGGGCCGAGGAGACGGAGGCGGCGGAGTGAGCCGACCGCCTCACCGAAGCTTCGAGAGCGGCGCTGCCGCCCCCCGAGCCCCGTCGGAGGCGCCGTCGGCAGGAACCAGGAAGTCACCGAGCCGCGAGCTCAGTACGAGCGCACCTGGCGGCACCGGCAGCTCGTCCGTAAGCAGCTGGCAGGTCCGAGGACCTCGCGAGCCTCATAAACGATTGAGACCGAACGCCCTCGCACGACGCCCCCCGAGCATGCCTTGGCTATGGAGACTGCATTTTCGCGAGAATAACGGCCACAAGCGCAACAGGACACATAACGGCACACTGTCCACAGCTTGCGCCGTCGCCCTTCGGCCTCAAATTTGGTTGGGAAGCTCGATGGGAAAAGGCCACTACGCACGCACCGCATGCAACGAGACCGCCCGCACAACTTCATGGCTGTCAGCCTGGGCGCCGCGCGTACCCTTCTCCACCAGGGCCCGATTACGATCCTGCTGTGGCAATGGCCCGGCGCGGGGGAATCTCCCGAGATACCTGCCAATCACCTGTAAAAGTTGGTGAGCACCCGCGACCCTCTTCTCGGCCTCACAATTTCTGGGATGGCGGTGACACCTGCTCTTGCCACGGGGTCGGCCGCCCGACTACCACGGCGAAAATATCGAGCATCGTCGACCTGGACATCATCCGCGATTCTGGCATGTCCTGTGACCCTGCGAACCTGAACCCCAAACTCGGCATCGCCAAGGGCATTCATACCATCATTCAAAAATCGCCGCCATGCAGCCAGAGTCAGCGTTCTCCACCCTTCCGTTGGCAAAGGAGGCCACGACCCGCTGACGAGCAGAGAAAAACATGCACCGCTCGCACCACGATGCCAGAGACACGCGCTAACAGAACGTAGCCTTCAGGTTCGGGGGTCTCCGAATCTTGCAGCGGGCCGGGCAACGCGCAGCACATCGCGCAGAACACTCCCGCCCCGCTCACCACAGGGCCCTCCTGCACGATCGGTGGCACGGAGCCGTCGCCGAAGACACCTCCCCCCCGGGAGGCCTCCGAGCGGCCGAACATGCCAGCGAGCAGGCAAATCGGAAGCCGGGGGAGGCGGAAGGGCCGAGAGCCGGGCACGCGAGCGCGGCGCCATGCGCACCACTCGAGGTGCGAACGCTCGGCCGACGCCACCCTCCCGGCCACGACGCGGCCGCGCCGCCATGCCCGGGCGGCCAGGCGGGCCGCCCCAAGACGCACGCCGCCAGGCGCCGCCTGGCCCCCCGCGCGCACGGGCAGCACGGGGAAGACTGCATTCCTCCAGCGCGCCGACGGGCGGCGCCCCACAGTGCCGCCCCCGACGCACGCCCGCGCGGGGCCTCTGCGGCGCCGGCCCCCTGTCCGCGCCCGTGAGAGCGCGCGGCCAGAGACCGCGGAGGCTCGAGGCACGGGCAGTGCTAGAGGTCGCGGAGGTAGCCGCGGCGGCCCATAGCGCCGCCAAGCAGCCCCCCCTCCAGCGAGCGCCTCGCCGAGACGACGACCGTCTTGGGGCACGCCTCGCTCACGTGGATGGCGATGCCGTCCTCGGCGCGGAAAGTGAGCGCGCTGCTCACAACCTGCCATCCCCCTGCGCCTGGCCGAAGCCACGACCGCCCCCACGGGGCCGCCTGACCAGCAGCCAAATCACAGCACGCTCGCACTTGCACCCAGGCGCCCCGCACGGCGCGCGCGAGGTTAACCACTGGCCCGACAATCGACGCGCAAGCGGGGTCCAAGGTGCGGGGCGACGCCCAGATGGCCAGGTCCGTTGTCGCCGAACGGCCGTGCACCGGGAGGGGTAAAGCGCGAGGTGAACTGCTCGTCGCAGCGCCAGAATGCGCCACCAGGCGCGGCCCACGACCCCGTCGCCACATGTGCCGAGAGGAATCCGCCCCACTGAGACGGGGGAGAAGTACCGCCCCCTGGCCGTCCGAAGCACTCGCATCCTTGCCCCCCTGCGTCCCGCCTTCTCCTGTCGCGCGCGGCGGACGGGGCAGCGCGCCAGCTCCCAGCGCGCGCAGTCGACCGCAAGGCCCTCGACCGCATGCTGGGCGCGCCCCTTGCAGCGATGGGCACCGGCTCACGAGCAGCGGAGTCGCCGACGACGCACGAGTCTCGCCGCGATGGACCCTGAGCTCGGGGCTCCCACCAGAACTCGGGCGGGGCTCCCACAGGCAGGGTGGCCCGCCGCATGGCCACATAAAGGGTCCAAGCGCGGCGTCGCGCCGTCGGCCTGGCCCGCTCCCTCGGCCTGCGCACTGCACTGCGCCTGCGAGTCCTGGAGCACGAAAATGCTGAGTGAACTCGTCCGCGTGCTTCCGCAGCCAGGGCTTGCAGGCCTCACCGAGGCTGGCCTCTGTCGCCGCCGACTCGGCAAGCTCCTCCTCGGCCCCCCAATCCGACGGCTCGAGGCCGAGCCCGACTAATGCCTGGGAAGGGACCGGCCTGGCCCTACACAAGACGGAAACAGGCTCGATGGCCGAGGCGGACTGGAAGGCCATGCGCACCGCCCGATGCGGCCTGAACATGATAGACGAGGCGCGTTCCACTACTCGCAAAGTAACTACTCGCGATTGGCCTGGATCGGCCGCGGGGGATCTACGATCCATTGCACAGAGGAAGACGTGTATTTGGGGGCGTTTGCGAATAGGCACTTTGCACGAAGAGGAGCGCGCTCGGTAACATCATCTCATCACCGACAGCGACGGACGCGGCAGCGATGCCGGGGGACGCAACGAAAAAAACAAACTCGCTGCCGCCCGATGCCACGGAACATGTAATGTGAGCATATGATTAAAAAAACATTTGAGGGCGGACGTTTAAAAAAATAGTTTCGCCGGCCTGGTTGGGCCCACATAAGGGGGGGAGGGGGCGCCGCCCACGGAGGGCCCCCCCAGGGCGAACAAATAAAGTTCTCCGGGGGACAATTATGGTTGCCCCCCGGGCCGTCTGGAGGGCCAGGGGGGGGGCGAGGGCAGGCAATGCGGAGCGGGCGGGGTCGGCCCTTCCCTCCTCCCTCCTCCTTCCGCTTCTCCTTCCTCCCTCCTCCCTCCGGCCTCCCTCCTCCCTCAATTCCTCCTCCCTCCTCCCTCCCTCCTGTCTCCCTCCTCCCTCCTCCCTCCTCCCTCCCTCCCTCCTCCCCCCCCTCCCTCCTTCCTCCTCCCTCCTCCTCCCCCTCCCTCTCTGTATCCCTCCCTCCCTCCCTCCTCCCTCCCTCCCTCCTCCTCCTCCCTCCCTGTCTCCTCCCTCCCTTCTTCTTCCTCCCTCCTCCCTCCCTCCTTCTTCCTCATTCCCCTCTCCTTCTTCCTCCCTTCTCTCCTCCCTCCCTCCCTGTCGTAGTAGTCGTAGTCGTAGTCGTAGTAGTAGCAGTAGCAGTAGTAGTAGTAGTAGTAGTAGTAGTAGTAGTAGTAGTAGTAGTAGTAGTAGTAGTAGTAGTAGTAGTAGTAGTAGTAGTAGTAGTAGTAGTAGTAGTAGTAGTAGTAGTAGTAGTAGTAGTAGTAGTAGTAGTAGTAGTAGTAGTAGTAGTAGTAGTAGTAGTAGTAGTAGTAGTAGTAGTAGTAGTAGTAGTAGTAGTAGTAGTAGTAGTAGTAGTAGTAGTAGTAGTAGTAGTAGTAGTAGTAGTAGTAGTAGTAGTAGTAGTAGTAGTAGTAGTAGTAGTAGTAGTAGTAGTAGTAGTAGTAGTAGTAGTAGTAGTAGTAGTAGTAGTAGTAGTAGTAGTAGTAGTAGTAGTAGTAGTAGTAGTAGTAGTAGTAGTAGTAGTAGTAGTAGGCGGGAGCGAATCACTTGGGCGGGAGCGAATCACTTGAGCGGGAGCGAATCACTTGGGCGGGGGCGAATCACTTGGGCGGGACACCACTTGGGCGGGAGCGAATCACTTGAATTGTTTCTTGTGGCCATCACAATATGTGTCTACGCGACGAGCGAACAAACAAACGCTGGAGGGAAGGAGAAAGGGGGGAACGATTAAAAAATCAGTTTCGGGCCCCAGCCCTCCTCCCTCCTCCCTCCTCCCTCCCACCTCCCTCCTCCCGCCCTGCCTCGCCTCCCTCCCCCCTCCCCCCTCCCTCCCTCCTCCCTCCTCCCTAGGGAGGAGGGAGGAGAGGAGGGAGGCCTCCTCCCTCCTCCCTCCTCCCTCCTCCCTCCCTCCCTCCTCCCTCCTCCCTCCCTCCTCCCTCCTCCCTCCTCCCTCCCTCCTCCCTCCTCCGTCCCTCCTCCCTCCTTCCTCCCTTCCTCCTCCTTGGAAAAATCGAGAATCTTCAGGGGGAAAGGGGGGGGGGATCATTAAAGTTGCTGGGGGGGGGGACGATTAAAAAATCAGTTTCGGCCCCCAGATTCTAGTAGTACGCCCAACTCTTCACGGATAGGGCCCCCCGGGGGAGGGGGGGGGGTGGGGTATTTTTTTAATCATATGCTCACATTACGCCGCCGGGCGGCAGCGGCCGTGCCGCGCACCGCCGTGAGCCACCGGATCCGATCGAAGCAGCTGGGCTCGAGCCTGGCGGCGCCGCCATCGGTGCAGGCGCGCAGCCGTGCGGCGTGCAGGCCGAGAAGGCCGACTTCCAGCCGCGTCGCCAGTGGGGGGCCTCATGCGAACCCTGCCCCTACCCCCCACGATTTCTGAGGGGGAGGGTGGGGTTCACATCGCTCGGGAGCTCCCGAGCGAAGTGAACCCCACCCTCCCCCTCAGAAATCGTGGGGGGCAGGGGCAGGGTTCGCATGTGGCCCCCTAGCCAGTGCAGTAGGAAGGCACCAACTATACACCAACACCGATCCTGGCCAGGATCACCCTGGGCCCAGGATCGGTGTATACGCCCTCCTGCCTTGGGCAAGAAGGCATATGCACCGATCATGGGCCCAGGGTGATCCTGGGCCAGGATCGGTGTTGGTGTATAGTTGGTGCCCTCCGATGCAGGCCGAGAAGGCCGACTTCCAGCCGCGTCGCCAGGCCGCACGGTGCGCCGGGAAGCGGTTCGGCTCGTCGGGGTGGTGCTCCTGGACGGCCACCACGGCCCCGTCCACGGCCACCACCGCTCCAGCTCACGCGGCACGGGGCCCCACGGCCGTGGCGTGCACGGTCAGGGTCGAGCAGGAGCCCGAAGGATGCCGCCGCCCGCGCCAGGAGGAGGAGAATGAGGAGGAGAATGAGGAGGAGGAGGAGGAGGAGGAGGAGGAGAATGAGGAGGAGGAGAATGAGGAGGAGGAGAATGAGGAGGAGGAGGAGGAGGAGGACCACTGGAAACCCAAGAGTCACCAACGATGTTGGAATTCACCCTCCCTCCAGGCTCCCTTCTTCATAGGCCCCTGCAACGCTTCATTTCCATTGAAGGAACTGCCTCGTTGGAAGACAACAGTTTGAAGATCCTGAAGCGTGCCAAAGCATTGTTTTCGGGATTTCAACGCCACGTTTTAACCTGACTGCTGCGTCTTGACGATCAGAACCGTACAAGAAAGCCATTTCGGGGGCTTCAACACAGCGAATCAACATAACCGTTGCGCCCGCATAATCCTGACCCCGTCCAAAACACTATGTTTGGTGCGCTGATCATGGGAATGAGGCGAGAGGTGCTGAGGCGAGAGCCACATGTTGAAAGGAACCCCCCTTAATCCTTGAAGCTCTTGCAAACTTTTAAAACGAATGTGCGCGGCGCTAGGGCGAGAGCCCCATTTTGAATACGACCCGCCTTCAATCCGTGAAAATTTTGCAAATGTTTGAAACGAATGTGCGCGGCGCTTAGGCGAGAGCCACATTTTGAAAACCACCCGCCCCAAATCCGTGAAACTCTTGCAAACTTTTAAAACGAATGTGCGCGACGCTGGGGCGATAGCCGCATTTTGAATACGACCCGCCGTCAATCCGTGAAAAGCTTGCAAGTGTTTGAAACGAATGTGCGCGGCGCGAGGGCCACATTTTGAAAACCACCCGCCCCAAATCCGTGAAACGCTTGCAAACTTTTAAAACGAATGTGCGCGACGCTAGGGCGAGAGCCGCATTTTGAATACGACCCGCCTTCAAACAGTGAAAACCTTGCACATGTTTGAAACGAATGTGCGCGGCGCTTAAGCGAGAGACACAAAAAAAACATCCACCCTCAATCCGCGAAAGTCTTGCAAACTTTAAAACGAATGTGCGCGGCGCCAAGGCGAGAGCCACAGTTTCAAAAAGAACCGCCCTCAATCCATGACACTCTTGCGAATGTTTCAAACGACGAATGTGCGTGGCGCTGAAGCGAGAGCCACATGTTGAAAACTACCCGCCCTCAATCCGTGAAGCTGCTGTCACTTTTTAAGCTTCAGAATCATAAATGGTAAGGAAGTCTCAGGCGAAACGCCTGGCCCGCCCTAAACACAGGCCTAGGGGTGCGACGGGGAGGAATTATCTATAAGGAAAAGGAATGGAGGAGGAGGAGGGGGAGGAGGAGGAGGAGGAGGAGGAGGAGGAGGAGGAGAAGGAGAAGGAGGAGGAGAGGAGGAGAGGGAAAAGATTGCGGACGGAGGACGGAGGACGGAGGACGGAGAGGGAGGTGGAAGAAGGATGAGGAGGCAGGAGGGAAGAGGGGAGGAGGGGGGGAAGGGGGAGGCGGAGAACGGGGGGGAGGGAGGAGAGGGCCCTCAGCTCTCCTCCTGTGGCATTGGGCTGCCCTGGCTACCGCCCTCCGTCTTGCCGACCAGCACGTCGACGCCGCCAAGGTTGACCGCCCTCAGCTCGGTTGGGGCAAGGTCACTCTCCTTGAAGCCAGTCTGCAGGAGTAGCCAGCGGCAAGGAGGAGGAGACGTGGGGCGAGGAAAAGAACTCATCCTCAGCAGGAGGACCTCATCAGCATCATCATCATCATCATCATCATCATCATCATCATCAGCATCAGCATCAGCAGCAGCAGCATCATCATCATCATCAGCATCAGCAGCAGCAGCCGCAGCAGCAGCATCAGCATCAGCATCATCACCACCATCATCATCGTCATCATCATCATCATCATCATCATCATCGTCATCCTCATCATCATCATCATCATCATCAGCATCAGCATCATCATCATCATCATCATCATCATCATCATCATCATCATCATCATCATCATCATCATCATCATCATCATTATCATGAGCATAACAGTCATCAGCAGCATCAGCATCAGCAGCAGCAGCAGCATCAGAGGCATCGTAATCGTCATCATCATCAACGCCATCACCATCATCATAATCATCATCATCGTCGTCATCAGAATCATCCTCAGAATCCTCATCATCCTCATTATCACCATCCTCATCATCAGAATCATCATCGTCAGAGTCGTCATTGTCATCACTATCAGCATCATCAGCAGCAGCAGCATCATGACCATCATCATCCTCATCACCACCATCATCAACAATAACATCGTCATCAACATCACCAGCATCATCATCAGCAACATCAGCATCAGCAGTATCATCGTCATCATCGCCATCGTCATCCTCAGTATCACAATCAGCATCATCATCAACAATATCATCATCATCATAGCCACCACCATAATCATCATCATCACCATCACCACCATCATCAACACCAGGATCCTCATCACCACCATCATCAGAATCATCATCATCAGCATCAGCAGCATCCGCATCATCTTCGTCATCATCCCCATCAATATCAGCATCATCGTCATCATCATCATCATCGCCATCCTCATCATCATCATCAGCAGCATCATCATCATCCACAGCTTCATCATCATCAGCATCAGACTTATCAGCATCATCATACACATTCTCATCGTCGTCGTCGTCAGGGGCATCAGCATCATCATTATCATCATCATCACCGCCATCATCATAATCGTCGTCATCGTCATCGGCATCGTCAGCATCGTCATCATCATCTTCGCCATCCTCATCGTCAGCACCATCATCAACACCACCATCAGCACCATCAGCATCACCAACAACACCCACAACAATGTCAGCAACATCAGTATCAGCAGCATCATCATCATCAGCATCATCAGCAGCATCAGCCGCATCAGCATCGTCAACATCCGCATTGTCAGCCGTATGATCGTCATCATTAGCAGCAGCATCATCATCATAATCATCATAATCGTCAGCATCGTCTTCGGCAACAGCAGCATCATCAGCATCATCATCAGGAGCAGCATCAGCATCATCAGCATCATCATCAGCATCATCAACATCAACAGCATCATCAGCCTCAGCATCAGCATCATCATCATCAGCATCGTCAGCATCATCAGCATCACCATCGCGGTCCTCAGTATCACCATCAGCATTATCATCAACAACAGCATCATCATAGCCACCACCTCAGTCATCATCAGCAGCATCATCATCATCATCACCATCATCAACACCAGAATCCTCATCACCACAATCATCATCATCAGCATCATCATCACCCGCATCATCTTCACCATCCCCATCATAAAAGTTATCGTCATCATCATCGTCATCCCCACAACCACCACCACCACAACCACCACCACCACCACCATCATCATCATCATCATCATCATCATCAGCATCATCATCATCATCGTCACCATCCGCATCTCCATCATCAGCAGCAACATCATCAGCATCCTCAGCATCGTTGTCGTCAGGAGCATCATCATCATCACCACCACCATCATCGTCGTCGTCATCGTCATCGGCACCGTCAGCATCGTCATCATCGCCTTCGCCATCCTCATCGTCAGCACCATCATCAACACCACCACACGCACCACCAGCCTCACCATCATCACCAACAACAACATAAGCAACCGCAGCATCAGAAGTATCATCATCATCAGCATCATCAGCAGCATCAGCCGCATCAGCAGCGTCAACATCCACATCGTCAGCATCATCGTCGTTGTCAGCATCAGCATCATCATCAGCAGCATCATCATGAGCCGCAGCAGCAGCATCACCATCATCAGCATCGTCAGCTGCATCAACATCACCAGTGTGAACATCATAATCATCAGCATCATCATCATCATCATCATCATCATCATCATCATCATCAGCATCGTCAGTATCAGCAGCATCATCATCATCGCCGTCACCATCGTCATAATCGTCGACGTCATCATCGTCGTCATCATCATCAGCATCATCAGCGTATTCCTCATTCTCATCCTCTTCAACACCATCAGCATCATCATCAGCATCAGCATCATCAGAATAAGTATCGTCACCATGACCATCGCCATCATCGGCGGCGGCGGCGGAGACACGATCGTCAGCATCGTCGTCGCCATCGGAACAAATGATCATCAAAATCAAATCGTCACAACACGCCGCATAAGACTCGCCGTCCTCATCATCAACATCATGGATATCGTTTGCAAAACGAACAGTAACAGAATCGTTGCACACACCGTCATCTGCATAACCATCTGAGTCGTCATACGCAGCATGACCAACGGTCATCAAAAACATCATTACCACCACCTCGTCGCACAACATACTCAGTGCATCGTCATCATATGCAGAATGGTCATTGTCATAATCCTCATCGGCATCATCAGCAGCATCAACATTACCAGCAGAATCATGGCCATTCTCACCACCACCACAACCATCATCAGCATAATCACCAGTATCATCCTCCTCATCATCATCATCAGCATCAGCATCATCGTTAGCACCATCAGCATCGTCATCATCATCATCATCAGCAGCAGCAGCATCATCATCATCATCATCATCATCATATTCAGCATCAGCAGCACCATGACCACCACGACCACCACCCGTCATCGTTACCATCGACATAGGCTATTACCTCACACCTCACCCCACACGAACGTGAGGGAATGCGCGCAAGGAGGAAGACGGGAGTGGAGGAAACGGAGCGGAGGAGAGGCAGAGTAGAAAAGGGGAGGGGAAGGGAAGGGAGCAAACGGAGGGGATGGGGGTATCATCATCACAACCATCATCAGCATGGGCCGCTTCTTCTGTTACTCATCCTCATCGTATGTTTCTTCTTCATCCTCCTGCTCCTCGTTCTCCTCATCATGCTCCTCCTACTCATCCCCTTCCGTCTCATCCTCCTGCTCCTCCTCGTCATTACCAGCAGCTTCACCATCATCACTACAACCGTCACCCTCGCATCTCATGTGTCACCCATCACTCTCCCTCTCTACCTCCATACCTACGAGCCTCCGTCCTTCTCCTCCTCCTGGTCCTCCTCCGCCTCCCGCTCCTCCCCCTCATGTTCCTCCTCATCCTCTGCTTGCTCCTCCTCTTGCTCCTGCTCTTCACTTCTCAGTATTCACTCCTGACCTCTGGCTCCTGGCTCCTCAGTCATCTTTCATCCGTCGCCGCCCCCTCCAATGCTCCAGTTTTTCCCCCACGCCGTCGCCACCGTAGTTTGCGAGCGCCCCAAAACCTTGATCCACGCGAGGGCGGGCAAAATTGTCTGCGTGGTGTACCTGGCCGCCGTCTTCGAGGGTCTACCGCGTCCTCGCGGCAAGCCGAAAGGAGGACAACGGAAAGCAACAGGGAGGAGGAGGAGGAGGAGGAAGAGGAAGGGGAGGAGAAGCACGAAAAGAAGGATGGCTCCAAGGTGCTCTCGTAGGTTCTAGGGGGGTGGTGCCCAGGGAGTACGATATCGCGGGGAGGAAAGGAGGAGTGCAAGAGCAAAAGCGAGTGCTTAGCCACCACCCATGCCGCCACAAAGGATGTCAACCCCTCATCCTCATCTTCATCCTCCTCCTGGATGTTCCTTGTCATTCGTCTTTTCTCTTCCTCCTCCTCATCATCATCCTCATCCTCATCATCATCATCAGCAGCAGCATCATCATCATCATCATCGTCGTCGTCATCATCATCATCATCATCAGAATCCCCATCCTTGCGTCCCGCATCTTCGTCGTTCCTCCTATCATACATCATCCCTCATGATACGCATTACCCTAGCCATTACCAGCATCACTGGCATCATCATCACCATCATCAGCAGCAGCATTACATCCAAATCATCCGTATCAGCAAAATCCACCTCTTCAGCTTCAACTTCTGTCGTTTTCCCCCTCCTCCTTGTGATACGTATCCTCCTCATCCTCCCTCCTCCTCCTCCTCCTCCTCCTCCTCCTCCTCCTCCTCCTCCTCCTCCTGATACGTATCCTCCTCCTCCTCCTCCTCCTCCTCCTCCGCCGCCTCCTCCTCCTCTTCATCATCCGCCCCCGCATCGTCATCATCACCACTATCAGTCATAATCCTCACCACCATCATCAGCATCATCACCAGCTTCCAACTAGGCTCCCGAAAATTCCACATCCTTCCTCCACCTAATCCTCCTGCACCTCCCCCCCCGAAATATCATCCTCATCGTTCTCATATCATGTGCTCCTGATCGCCCCGTCCCGTCATATTCCTCCTCGGCCCTCTCCTGGTTCCCCACCATCCCTATATCCACTCTACTCCCATCCGTTCCACACCTCATTCTCATCCCTCCCCTCTTCTTCATCCTCCTCCCCCAATCAATCAGCATGGACGTGGCAAGATTACATCGGCTTGCTGCGCAGGGTGCCGGGCAGTAGGCAGGACCAGCTAGGGTTGATGGAAAGCGTGGCGTCCATATCGGCAAAAGGGCGCAAAACCGACAGGCTTCATCACCACTAAAAGAAAGTCTGGCGTGGATGTCGTCCGTCGAGAGCCCCAGGTGCAAGATGGCACAAGATAGCTGAGGATGGCTCAAAATAGCCTCCCTCTTACATCGAAGACGCCCCAAGATGACCCCAAGATGACTTCAAGTGCCCTCCGGCTCCAAAGTCATGAGGAAAACAATGATTTGTACGTTCTAGCCTTTTCGCTTATGATGGGAATCCGAGGCCGCAAGATGGCCCCCAGACGGCCCAAGAAAGTCACAGGAGGGGCCTAAGAGGGCCCCAAGAGGGCCCCAAGAGCGCACAAGAGCACCCCGAAGGCCCCAAGAGGCAACGTTTAGCCCCTCCCTCCTTCTTCCTCCTCCTCCCCCTCCCTCCTCCTCCTCCCTCCCTCCCCCTCCCTCCTCCTCCCTCCCCCCCTCTCCCCCTCCCTCCCTCCTCCTCCTCCAGTCAGCTGGGCGGGCGCGTCCCGCGGAGCCAGGCGCCACGAACGTCAGGCTGCTGCGGAGCGCCAGCAGCGCCAGCGCGGCGACGACGCACGACCGGGCGGCGCGCATGGCTGAGGCGGCGCCGACGACTGGTGGCGCGCAAGAGAGTGACCCAGGAGGAGGAGGAGGAGGAGGAGGAGGAGGAGGAGGAGGAGGAGGGGGAGGACGGGGAGGACGGGGAGGAGGAGGAGGAGGAGGAGGAGGAGGAGGAGGAGGAGGAGGAGGAGGGAGGAGGAGGAGGGAGGAGGAGGAGGAGGAGGAGGAGGGGAGGAGGAGGGGGAGAGGAGGAGGAGGAGGAGGAGGAGGGGAGGAGGGGGAGGAGGAGGGGGATGAGGGGGAGGGGAGGAAGGAAGGAAGGAAGGAAGGAGGAAGGAGGAAGGAGGAAGGAGGAGGGAGGAGGGGAGGAGGAGGAGGAGGAGGAGGAGGAGGAGGAGGAGGAGGGGAGGAGGGGAGGAGGCGGAGGAGGGAGGAGGAGGAGGAGGAGGAGGAGGAGGAGGAGGAGGAGGAGGGAGGAGGAGGAGGAGGGAGGAGGAGGGAGGAGGAGGAGGAGGAGGAGGAGGAGGGGGAGGAGGAGGAGGAGGAGGAGGAGGAGGAGGAGGAGGAGGAGGGAGGTGGAGGGGACGAGGGGGAGGAGGAAGGAGGAGGAGGGGATGAGGGGGAGGAGGAAGGAAGGAAGGAAGGAAGGAAGGAAGGAAGGAAGGAAGGAAGGAAGGAAGGAGGGAGGAGGAGGAGGAGGAGGAGGAGGAGGGGGAAGGGAAGGAAGGAGGGGGAGGAGGAGGGAAGGGAGGGAGGGAGGAAGGAAGGAGGAGGAGGAGGCGTAAATGGGGTCTCCAGTTGCCGCGCGAGGCCTCCAGGGTCTCTCCACAGCCCTCTGCGTGCAGCCGGCCGTCGGCGCGCGAAGGAGAAGAAGAGAGGAGCTGCGACTGGTGCCGACGACCAGTGGCGCGCAGGGGAGCCCAGATCTCCCGCCCTCGTGGAGAAAGTCGCCTCGAGAACCCTGGGGCCTGCTCTTCACGGTGGGCCTCTCCGCCCGATGTCGGCCCTGGGGGCCTCCGCGGGTCGATCGGGCTCGAGGCACGCCGCAGAGGGATGGCGTACGGGGCTCCGGTCGTGATCTTGAGGGATGCTTCGCTTTGTTCGCGACGTCGGCTCTCAAAGCGACAAGGGTTCGCGACGGGAGGCTCCGGGCGCTCCTGGCCTGCGGGGGGCCCTCGGGGCCGGGGCCGGGGCCGTCCGAAGCCGGCGCTGGGGGTCCACGCTGTGCGAAAAACGGGAGCACGATGTCGGAATCCTGATCGACCAAGAAGAAACACATCCGCAACCCCAAGATCGCGGATTCACCGAGGACTCGAAGGTCGGCCAAAGATTTCGAAGCATGTTTGGCGTTCGTCGTTGTCACCCTGGTAAAACCCTAGGCCCCAAAATCTCCCTCCCCGAAGTCTCGAGGAGCCTGCGTTCTGTTTGGGCCCTCGCGTTTTTGGGATTGGGCGTCTGTTTTGAGATAGTGACTGAGGACCCCACTGCGCGGGCGCTCCTGGGCACCCTCGGTCGCCCTCGGCCCCGCCTTCCCTTGGCGTCCAGGGAGGCCACCAGAGGCCGCGGGGGGAGGAGGAGGAGGAGGAGGAGGAGGAGGTGGAGGAGGAGGAGGGAGGAGGAGGAGGAGGAGAAGGAAGGCGGCAGGAGGAAGGAAGCAGAGGGGAGAGGAGGGCGCAGGAGGCGCGGTGGAGAAGGAGGTGGAGAGGAGGAGGCGCAGGAGGAGAAGGAAGCAGGGGAGGGGAGGAGGAGAGGAGGAGGCGGAGGAGGAGGAAAGGGGAGGACGCGATGGAAAGGGAGCGCGATGTCGGAATCCTGAGGGCCCCACTGCGCGGGCGCTCCTGGGCACCCTCGGTCGCCTTCGGCCCCGCCGCCCCTTCAACCTCCGGGGAGGCCGCCGGGGCCGCGGGGCGCCTCCTCGGAGGCCCCCGCAGCACCTCTGTGGCGGCCTGGGGGGGGGTCCTCCTCCTCCTCCTCCTCCTCCTCCTCCTCCTCCTCCTCCTCCTCCTCCTCCTCGGAAGAAGAAAGTAGAAACATGAAGTAGGAAGGCGCTGGCAGTAGATCGGGTGTCCGCCCGCCCCCTGAGGAGGACCGAAAAGACGAGGCCACTCGACCACTGAAGTAGGCAGGCGCTTGAAAGCAGATTGGAGTCTGGGACTACCAAAAATACCTACTTTCAACGACCGATGGGTACTCGGAAGATCTCCCAGGACACTCGCGGACGCGGGGCGCCGTCATCTTCGCGTCCTCGCGCCGGCCCGCGCCGCGGAGCCGCGCTTCTGCGACACGGCCTGCGGCGGGAGGAGAATCGGAGGAGGATCGAGGATCGAGGATCGAGGGGAGGATCGAGAGGAGGAAGAAGTAGAAAGAAGAAGAAGAAGGATGAACAACAACAACAACAACAACAACAACAACAACAACAACAACAACAACAACAACAACAACAACAGCAACAACAACAACAACAACAACAACAACAACAACAACAACAACAACAATCATTTTACCCGAACGCTCAGTGTTCTCCCCAGTGCCAGGGTTTTCTTGCGACACCAGCCAATACCCCCACTTCGTGGGGGGGCCGTTCAAGCTCTACCAAATATCCAAACGACTCTTCGAGACCACCCACACCCAGCTTCCCGCCCTATGACGTTGGGACACTTCACTTCGTGGCGTGCGGACGACCCTGGCTACTACACTGGCGTGGGGTACACACCCACAGAGGTTGATCACATCTGTTACATATGATGTGGTACACGGTACACGTGAGATGGTACGCAGTGCCAAGATAGTTGGTCACATTTTTGGGGCAAATTCGTGGGGATGCGATTACAGAAGTACATGTGTTACACTGATGTTATACAGTCCCAAGGATGACGCATGCATTGCTCATAGACTCATGGCGCTATGATCCTAACTCTCAGTGCCCAACGCGCGCGTGCACAGCCAGACGGAGGGAGAGAAACACATGTATACAAGGTTCGTGACATACGCACGGTCCACCATGTTGTAAACGATCGCATGCACGGTAAGTTCTGAAATTATACGTATGTACAAGCAGACATGCGAGGGAGAAAGGGAGATGGCCATCGACAGTTCCAATACGGCTCCAAGGCGGAAGAGGGGGAGGAGGAGCAGGACAAGGAGGAAAGGAGAGAAGCGAGAAAGGAAGAACGCAGACGGCGCGGCTCTGGACACAAAGGGGTGCCATACTTTCTCCTGCTTTCGCAAACAGGTCCAGTCACACGTAGGGGTATACTCAACCGAATGGTCTTCGCATCCAGAAGCATACTAAAGGCGCGACGCATCGTCGTCTGCGATGGCGCGGAGCGGGCGCGTGGGTGCCCGGCTGCCTGGCTGATACACGTGCGGGCCTGGCTGATACCCGTGCGGTCCCAGATGCCCAATGAGATTGCCGATACGCCTGCTGGCGGGAAGGCCGGTGCTTGCATACGGCAGTGCTACCGCGAGCACGTTGTGGACCTGCGGTGGCAAGGCCTGGTAATCGAGCATGTTCGGAAGCTCGTCGCTCTGACCATACGACCGCCATACGGGCAACCACCACCACTGGTCTTGACGCGGATACGTGATCTCTGTGCCGACCTCAGGGGATACGTTCCAAAGGGCCATTTTCTGCGGGTCCGTACCCATGAAGGCCGCGTGGTACGCAATGAATACGTCCAAGGTGGCCAGGGCCCTGTAGGAGAGGCCGGATACGATCTCCGCATGAATGGGAATAGCGAGCTGACCGAGCAAATACCGCATACTGCGATACACCCACTGGGCCGGGTGGACGAAGAGGTTGGCTTTCCAGGCGACGATACCTGCTGCGGTGCACAGCGTGTCGAATACGTGCACAAGGTAGCCAATGGGCTTCCCAAGCCTCTCATCCTGGAATACCGAGAAGTTCCCGGATACCGCGTTCGCGTAAAAGTACGCGTCGAAGTACAGCCATTCGGGCTCGGCGATGCCCCCCATACTGTGCTGGTACTCCGGGTCGTTGTTGATCTTCGACTGCCCCGTGGACATACCGCTCGATACGGCGAGGCACACGCCCGTAACACCCTCCCATAGAAGAGGGAAGAAGATACCGCACGCGAACCACCTTTCCGAGCCACACTGCTTCAACCAGCGGCGTGCATACGCCTCGTGGCCGGGTGGCGTATGCCAGCGATCCATACTCGAGCTCACTTCATCATCCGACGGGAAATACTCGCCCGTCAAGGGGTCAAGCCGACCGGCCATCTGGAAAGTCATACGGAAGGCTGGCAATGTGGAGGTGAATACGATCTCGCGACATACCGACGCATACACATCGCACCACTTTCTCAACACTGAGCGGGACACCAAGACAGCTTTCCGTCGCATACGCAACACGGTATGCAACGTGTGGTACTTCAGCCCTGGATATACAGCGCGCATGTGGTCACCAAGTGCCGCGTTGAGCTTTTCGGCCGTGTCATACTGCAAAGGTCCAGAGTCAGGGTGATACTTCACGTACCATTGCCTCAAAACCATACCGCTGACAGCGACGGGAGGATCGCTCTCCGAGAGAAGCTGCGAGAGGACCTCCGCAGCGGCCTCGTCGGCGAAGCTCTCCCGATACTGATTGAGTCGAAGACGCTCGCCCATGCATTCCTCCACAGCTTGGGCAGTGTTGAGTGCCCCCTTGGCGCCCCACTCCGTGCTGAGCCACTTCTGGCATACCCTGGCGTTAGCAGATACAGATAAATGTCCCAGGAGCCACTGCTTCAAGACGGCCCCGTCAGTGGTCCCCTCGGGCATGTCTTTGCGAATACGTTCTCCATACCAGGTCTCCAAGTGGCCAGCGTTCTGCACTTGGACAAGCGTGTCTTTGGATGAATACTGCAGTAGCCACGCCGTTGCGACCCTATCTGGCACATACAGTGGTGGATCCAACTGTCGGAGCGCCCGGCATAATTTGAAAGCGGTATTATACTCAATGCCCAGGTGGCGGATGGCAGAGCCGTGCTGCTCCTCCAGCTCCTTGGCGCTAGAAATACTGACCGTGCCAGTCACAACCCGATACTTGGCC